AGAATTGCTACATTAACCACCAACCAAGAATGGCTACATTAACCACCAACCAAGAATGGCTACATTAACCACCAACCAGGCAGGTAAGAATGGCTACATTAACCACCAACCAGCTAACAAAAAGCTACGAGAAACCCGCCAAAGTCAGCCACCAAGACGGTTGTTAATTACGTGAATGCCGACCCCAATGACATAATAATAGGTCCGCTGGTGTAATCTAGGGCCGGTACAGCCATTGGTTGAAGGGAGTCGTTACTCCAATTAACTGTCTAATGTTTTTTTAATAAGATGTTTCGGGAATTTAAAGAAAAAAAAACTGGAGTATTGCGTAACATAATGTTTGGTTATAAAATGGCAAGGACAAAATTAATGTTATGAGAACCTGAAATGGATAGGCATCCCTCCTCTTTGTATTCACGCTTGGAATGCCATAGAAACCATACATTAGTTAAAGACGAGAAGCCAAAAAAAGCAACATTAAAACATTGTGTCATCATTGATCTGTAAAATAACTAGTCCGCACTAAATCAGTCAGTCTATTTTTATCATGTTGGTGAGTAGAGATGTAGAGGTTTAAGGGAATTTGAGTGTATGGTTTGTGAAAGGGGGGGGGGGGCATAACGGGTTATTTGTACTTTTTGTGTTTTATTTTAATGATTTTTTTCCCTGGTGTGTGGGTTATTTTATAAGCACAATCAACCAGAAGATATGTTAGCAAGTAATCAGACGACAAACATCTTGTACAATTTAGGGGAAGCATCAGTTGGTCTAGACATATACCCGAGGTTACTCACCCAGTTTAGTACTCACCTTTCACTCACCTGCAAATCTGTGGACTGTTTACATTTAACACAAAACTCACTACGTGTCTTTCGCTTTATTGTATTTTACTAGCGTTCTCCCTCCCCCACCCCTATGATTCACCCATTCACTCATCCCCCCAGCTCACCTGAAAATACCTATTGATTAAACCCATTGTTCTACCTGTCATCATTTCCCCATCCCACCCCACCCCCGTGCACCCATCAACATCACCATAAGGTACCCAGAACCCATCCGTCACCATCTGTCCCCCCTCTCCCACCGGCGTCTTTGTCCCGTCCCCCGCGGGCCTCCCCCACAATGACCAGTGTCCTGAGATGTCGATGACCGCAGACAGAGCCCCGTGTTGCTGTAGCGGCTAGGGACGACTCGGGGATGATGTGGCAGACGACACCAGCAGATCGTTAGGATAACGTCATCCTCACCTCCGTTGATGAGGGAATGACGTAGTTCGCGCTGCCGTCGTTACTGTCATCATCCTAACGAGGTACTTCACATGAAGATGAACTAGCAAGAGACGTACATAACGAGGTCCCTCAAATGACGATAAACTAGCAAGAGTCGTACTTATAGCGAGGTCCCTCAAATGACGATAAACTAGCAAGAGCCGTACTTATAGCGAGGTCCCTCAAATGACGATAAACTAGCAAGAGCCGTACTTATAGCGAGGTCCCTCAAATGACGATAAACTAGCAAGAGTCGTACTTATAGCGAGGTCCCTCAAATGAAGATAAACTAGCAAGAGCCGTACTTATAGCGAGGTCCCTCAAATGACGATGATATAGTTTCAAACCGTGGTCATAACTAGGCTTTTCAAATTAAAATAATCCGCGAAGCCATTTTAGACGTCTTGTTTGACGTGTAGTCTATCATGTAACCAGTTTGACGTGTAGTCTATCATGTAACCAGTTTGACGTGTAGTCTATCATGTAACCAGTTTGACGTGTAGCCTATCAGTTGTAACCAGTTGTAACGATAAAAAACAAACAACTGGAATATATATTTCTTGTGCCACTTGCATTTTTTAATTATTATTGCACTCAGTGGCGTAGCGAGGTCGGGTGTCACCCGGTGCGGCACTTAATGGTGTCACCCCCCCCCCCCCCCAGAGGCGTTGCGACCCATCCCGGGGACAAACTTTCAAGTTTTCGATTTGCACCCCCCCCCCTCAAACTTTTGATTTGCACCCCCCCTCAAGTTTTCGATTTGCACCCCCCCCCCCCCTCAAGTTTTTCTCTCTATATATTGCTATTTTTTGCCTTGGTGTCACCCCCCCCCCCTAAATGGTGTCACCCGGTGAGGTCCGCACCCCCCCCCCCCCTCGCTACGCCCCTGATTGCACTCTTTCGATGTATTTTTAATTTTTTTTTAAATATTTGAGGTAACTAAACAGTATTGGGGGGGGGGGGGGGGATGTGCTTGCTGTTGTAGCTAGTTACTAAAAAAAAAAAGTCAATAATGTTTCAAAGACGAAAAAATAAAAAAATTCATTTTGATGTAATGATGCCATATGTCCATCCAGTGCTTTTTTTTTTGTAAAAAAAAATATGTGCCGGTACTCAGATTGCCTAACTTTTAACTACCAGTTCACAAATCACAACTGCAAAAATACTAAATCAACAATTAACAAATTAATAATATAATAAATTAATAACAAACGTTAAAATACAAAAAAAGTAATATTTTTTTCCCAACATCGAAAAAGGTGCGGGTACGCCGTACCGGTGCATACCGTCACAAAAAGAGCACTGTGTCCACCCAATACAACCGTTCCCATTTACCACAACCATTTACCACGACCATTTACCACGACCATTTACCAATGCGACACAACCAGTCAGTGTTTTTCCCAAACTTTTTTCTCAGGGGGGGGGGGGGGGGGGGGGTGGCACTTGATTTTTCTGGGGGGGGGGGGACGGGGACGGGACACTAAATTTTCCGGGGGGGGGGGGGCGGACACTGTTAAAAGTATATATTTTCTATATAAATTCTATTACGTTCGTGGGGGGGGGGGGGGGGGTACCGGGGACGGAGCCCTTCCGAAGAGACGCCTGGAATAAAGTCTGCAACCAGTACAGTAGTGGCCGACAGCTTTTTGGTGTTATATTTTTAAATAAAGGGAAGCTATTTCGTTTAAAAAAAAAAATCTATACCATAAAAAAAAAGGATTAACTCTCTTGGAATCGAAAATATAAACACAATGAAATTTTTAGTAAGCATATTACTATTTTGTTAATTTTAATTAATTTATTAATACGATTGTTCTTGGTCCGCAAGTCCAGTTTGAAAGAAATATGTTAGGTAAAAGTGGTTGAAATTGTGCTCGTAAGTTTCGACTCTTGATTGAAAAGAACCACACGAGGAAATCAAGTAAAATAAAAGCATGCAATAAAAACACGCCCATGTGCACTTGAAATTTTCGATGCCTAGAAGAAACTCTGGCCCCCATCCCTCCGACCTCCCGTCCGTGTTCAGAGTTTCTTCCAGGCATCTCTTCGGAGGGGGCGAAGCCCCCCCGAAATTTTTTTACCGCCCCCCCGAACGGAATGAAATTTATATAATTTATATAGAAAATATATACTTTTAACAGTGTCCGCCCCCCCGGAGAAAGTTTACCGCCCCCCCCGAAGATTTCAAGTGCCCCCCCGGGGAAAAAAGTCTGGAAGAAACACTGTCCGTGTTTACGTCACAGATAGATGACCAGTTGATTGCTCGGTTCTGTCTGTGAAGCGTGTAGTTAAATTTAGATGTTGCGATGTCCATCAGAGGCGTAGCGAGGGGGGGGGGTACATATGTCCCCGGGCGTCGACGTTAGAGGGCGCCAAAATGGGTTGGAAAAACAAATTAAAATCTCATTTTAGCTGCAGTTTTATAAATATAATATATATGGGGGGGGGGTGCAAATTGAAAATTGAAAGGTCGTTCCCGAGGGGGGCGCCAAATTGAAAGTTTGTCCTCGGCGCCGGGAAGGGTCGCTACGCCTCTGATGTCCATCCAATACAAGTGTTTCCATTTACCACAAATGGCCGCCACCAATGTTGCTGTAAGCTTTTTATGTGTACTAGGCCCTGTGGCATATTGGGGGTTAATCAGGGGAAGCAATCAAGTTTTTAAAAAAATAATTAATAGTTACACTTAAAAAAATTAACTCTCTTGGAAACGAAACATGTCACAAAATATAAACACAAGCACTCATAGATAGGGTGTAGACTACACTATAAAGTCCTTTTATCTCTAAAATATTAATCATAAATTAAACTATTTCAAAACTGTACACATCTCCACGTGTTTTTCCCCAAGTTTTTATTGAAACTTTAAATTATTATATTTGCAGGACTGGAGTGTAATTATTAGGCCAAGTTATTTGAAAACTACTTGACAGTGTTTCTCCCTGGCATCTCTTCGGGGCCGAAGAAAGTCTACCCCCCCCCCAAACGAAATGGAATGTATATAGAAAATATATACATTAAACATTGTCCCCCCCCCCCCTTCCCCCGGAAACGTTAGTCCGCCGCACCTAAAATTTCAAGTGCCCCCCCCCCCCCCAGCCCCCTCCGGAGAAAAAAAGTCTGGAAGAAACATTGCTACTTGTTAGTAGAGTCGTGAGTTTCTTCTTGAAGTTGTGGGTCTGGCACAGTATGTGTTTTGATTTACCCTAAAGGCGGTCAAACAGACATAATTGTGACTTTTAGTCAGAGGCGTAGCGAGGGTGGGGGGGGGCGGGTGAAACCATTTAGGGGGGTGACACCAAGGCAAAAATAGTAAAATATATAGAAAAAAAATTTGAGGGGGGGGGGGGTGTGCAAATCAAGTTCGAGGGGGGGGGGATGCAAATCGAAAATTTAAAGTTTGTCCCCGGGAAGAGTCGCTACGCCTCTGGGGGGGGGGGGTGACACCATTAAGTGCCGCACCGGGTGACACCCGACCTCGCTACGCCACTGCTTTTAGTTCCATCTTCCCATATATACGAAATATAATTTATATTGAAAATAGAATCTATATACTTTTACCAGTTTCCGCCCACCATCCCAATCCCCGAAAATTATTATTGGTCTAGCAACCTTTTTTTACATAACTTAATGTTATTTTTCTAAACATCGCTGACAAAAGAGTTCTTAGGTGTTGTATGAACAGTGTTCATTCGGTTACGTAGCATTGAAAAGACTTTTTGGTATGCATGGATTTAGATCTAGATCTAGATCTAGATTCTAGACACTACATGACATGTAGATCTAGATCTAGTCTAGATTTAGTACTCATAGACCATAATCTAGCTTTTAGATCTAAATAGTAAGTAAATATATAGATCTACATACTATAAATATACAACAAGGCTATTCATTTTCAATTTTCATTTATTCATACATCCGTGCTGTAATGGCATTTTTATTTTTAATTATTTTTTCATAGGCCTCTAGTCTACTAGATCTAGATCTAGACATAATGATGACATTCAGTCATTCACACATTGATCTAGTCTAGATCTAGATTCTAGATCTAGATCTGTGGTTCTTAACAATAACCCGGGTTCAATGAGTTTTTCAGTCTAAGCCTCTTAAGTGGGTTCTTGCTGAGATCAAGACACACATTCAACTTGACTCAACTCATGATTCACAATTGGATTTTGTCAGGGCTTAAAATTTAAATAGTAAATACATAGTGTTTACAATAGAATAGCACCACTGATACTAAATCTAAATACTATACTGATTTTTTTTTTTACTAGGTAACTAGTTGTTAAGTATTAAAATTAAGAAGTGTTTGTTGAAACTGGTGGGGTTCAGTGATTGTATGAAAAAAAGTCACAGGAAAAACAAACACAGAAAATAGTCACAGGAAAAAAAAGTCATAAATGTGTATTTGCTTGGAATTTGTTAATACTTTTATGTATTAAATAAATATTTAGTATGAAGTGTGTAGGCTTTAATTCCACTAGACATCTAATATTTAATAGAATTTAATAGAATGTTTTCATGTTTTTAAATTAATGTGAAAAGGAATAAAGACGTTGTTAATCTGACTTGCTGCCCTCAACTCACAGCACCAATAGTTCAATTACCTTTTCTGACCACATATGCAAAACACAATGATGTGCCAAAATTTCTTTTGTAATTTATTTTTTGCTACTGGGTATTTAACTAAATAAACGTAACAAAAGTTGAGGTTGATGTGTTACAGTACTTTTAATTATCATTTTTACTAGCAACTGCTCACACAAATGCATACAAGCATATTTTCAAATTGGTACAAAATATTTACATCGTATACCAGTAAACCATCTGTTTAATAAAAAATTTTTCTGTAAAAACAGATTGACTGAACACAGAAGACTGATCAACATCACAAACACAATTTTTATAAATCTAATACTGAATATCATTAGGAGACTTTGTCGCCGCCAGTTTGTTTTGGTGGAGTTTGTTGAGACGGGCTATTTGTCAGTTAAATACTTAGGGCCTAAATATATGGAGTGGAGTAATTTCATGTCACTCAAATATTGATGGAATATTCGCAGACTTACAACTCGCAAGGTTATTAGAACTGCAAGGGCTTTCTTAATAGTATCAATCAAATATTATATTAATTTTCGGAATTAATTTTTACAATTTCAGTACAATGCAAAACTTAATTTATAACAAAATATCTATTTAAAACACTGCTATACTTTATGATTTTTGTTTTTTCCTTCAAAAGAGTATACAAAATATTTTAAAATTATTACATTAAAAAGTTACCTCCCCTGTTCATAGACAAAATGACCAAATCTCGTATAGTGAGAATTTAATTCGCAGTCATTTTTAGCCCTCTTCGAGGGCTTTGAGTCTGACCAACAGTTTTTCAATACAATATAGAGGTGTGTACGAAAAATCAGCCAGTTATACAAAGATATACCCTGAAATCTTTGTTGAAATTACCCTCTGTTTTTCCCATAAAATACAAAGATTATATAGGGAAATACGACTGGTCAGTTTTAACCCATTTACCGAATTTTCCCGGACATGGCGAGTTTTTTGTGACACCCCAAGGCATTCTCCTACCACCTCAAAAAATTTCAAGGGGGGTCGTCGGAGGAAATTTTTTTTCGTAATAGAGCTCATATAAAGAGAATTTCACTCGCTGTCACTTTTTAGCCCTCGTCGAGGGCTTTGAGTGAAACCGACAGTTTTCCTTATAGGTCAAGCCATCTACCTAAGAGCATGCAATAAATTAGCCACATGTAAAGACGTTAAGTGCCCTAAAATCCGTTTTGAAATCACCCTCTGTTTTTCCCATAAAATACAAAGATTATATAGGGAAATACGACTGGTCAGTTTTGACCCATTTACCGAATTTTCCCGGACATGGCGAGTTTTTTGTGACACCCCAAGGCGTTCTCCTACCACCTCACAAAATTTCAAGGGGGGTCGTCGAGGTCAGTTTTGACCCCCTCTCCGTAGACTTTTCGGCAAACCATCACTGGCCCTCGTGTTCTATCGCCCCAAGCCACCATCGTGCCAAATTTGACGCGCCTGCGGCGCCGGGAAGTGCCCTATCGGGCACCTGACCACTTTGCTTTATGATAAACCATAATGCTTTTAAAGTTTATAAATATGCTGCAAAAAAAAAAATACCCACAACAATAAACATAAAATTTTTTAAGTTTCTCAACAATTAAATAAAAATATTTCTTAAAATATCTTTGTGACTTTTTTGACTTTTTTTCCCAGCAAAAACTGACTTTTCTGTTTTTTTGTGCCATTCAAGTAATGATCCAATGTTGCTATTTCGGCTATGCACACCCTGAAGAAAAGTGCCTCGCATAGGAACAATTTACTTCCTCTGTTTGTCAGCCTTAATCTTAATCCATTTTAAGTGTATTATATGTTTCTTTTTAGTTAGGCTTGGTTGTAAAAATTCATTTTATAATATTTTTTTTTTCAGAATTGATGTATTCATAAAAAAGTTTGTCTCTGTTATGTTGATACACAAGGTTAATTAAATGATGTCCAGATCAATCTATTTCAAGTATTTTGATGGCTAAAAGGATTACATTCAGACATCGGTATGTGTTTGTCATTTTGATTCGAATAGATAAAATAGCCAAGGTATCTCTTCAGAAAAGAACTTTATGGGATTTTTACTTTTTTAAAATACCCAAAGTTATTGACTGCAACATTATAACAAGTATTGCTTTACTATTTGAAGACACATAATTTATTTAGTTTGATCAATGCAATTTACTGAAATATTTTTGAAAGTAGGTTAAGAAAACATAGTATTCCTCGTAAATCAAGTGAAAGATATGATTATCTGTCACATTAAAGTTATATTGATTAATTACGAGAAATATTATTGGAACTATAAAACATGCAAAATAATTACTACACTCTATATTACTTAGCAGTTGTATGTTTGTTGGCCAATTAAAAGTATTCAGTTAAAAGATTTGTATGCTGTTTGAATTTAAGAATTGGATGAAATCTCAAATTATATAAATTATATATTATGTTATTGCAAAACAAAATTTTGGAAACATTCACAATTTTTATAAAACATGGCTATGTATTTTGTCAGTAAAATATATCGGCGAAGATATCATTTCATCGTTAAAGACAGTTTCAAGGTCAAAATGTGGCATGTATGTATGAAGTTGTTTAACCCCAGTTATGTTTCCAGTTGCTGTCAATTGTTTGGGTTTCATTAAACACTTGCTTTTATTTGTAACTCTTCTTTCAAAGAGTTTGTATTGAATTTTGTTTGTTGTGTTTTTACTTTTTTAGAATAAGATGTCCCCATTTGTTACGTGACTCTCTTATTAAATTGTTGACCATTATACTCGTAAGTATTTTAATATTGATGTTAATGAATAAAAACTTTTGAGTGAAATATTGATCTAAACTGATTAGAATTTCATATGGATTTTAAAAAAGAAATTTAATTCAACTTAATTAAAGGTATTTTAAAAGTATTTTCTTCCTTTGGATTGAGTGATGTTCTGTGTACAGCTGATGCAGGGTCTGGCTTTGTTTGCAGGTTGGAATCAGGCTTTGTCAGAAGCACCTCTATGGCGTTGTTGTCTGCTTCTTGGTGACAACATTGATCTGGTGGACCTCTGGGGAAAGCAACCAGTGTTTGGAGACAGAGATCATTCAGGAAGTGGTAGGGACATATTTTTATCTGACATTTTTTCTTCAGGAAGTGGTAGGGACATTTTTTTATCTGACATTTTTTCTTCAGGAAGTGGTAGGGACATTTTTTTATCTGACATTTTTTCTTCAGGAAGTGGTAGGGATATATAAGATGTGAATTTCTAGTTAAATATCTCATTTCTTGAACTAAAATTGTAAGTCTACTAATATTTCAGGGAAGGGTTTGTCTTACAACAGCCATTTTGTTTTGTTAATTCCTTTTCAAGCTTTGTTAAAATACAGCTTGACATTCTCTCATCATTCCTGTGAACCTCTTGTGGAGTATAGTGAGAAAACTACTTCCTGATCTTTGTATAGCGTGGGGACACAACCACGTCACTCCATTGTAATCAGCTTTGGGCTATTCACTTAACATTCTCTACCTTCCTGTTTTCATTTTGTTTAAAATTTCATTATTTTGGCTTGCTCTTTGAGTGAACTTGTCTGTATGCTATGCCATGTATTTTGCCATGTAAAATTTCTTGAAATATGTCCTCAGTGCAAGCAGTATCACGAGAAGTATGTTTCTAGTAGCATGTGTGATGCACTGTGTAACTCTAAGGAGCTGCATATTGGAGCATGTATAAAAACTTATGAAAACTTGATGGTAAGTTGCTTTGTTTTTCATATTAAATTTCTTAAGGAGTCAATATTGGTTTTAAAAAAGTTTTTAAATGTTCATTTTCATACTAGACTGGCCCATTACTGATGTTAATTTATTACTTAATTGTTGTGACTGGTTGTATTTTTTACTTGTATCTCAAGATATGTATACAATTAACCACACATTTAATATGATGTAATGCTTTAATGAAATTCTGACTAAAAATGTGTCATTTATACATTTCAAAAATAAAAAATGCCATGCTCTGACATATGAATATAAAAGAAACCAGTCTGTGTCTAGAAATAACAATAATTTGTATTGATCAATGTATTAATTTTAGAATTTTTTTTTTTAATAGTTTTTTCAGAATGGACAGACTGTATTGACCACTGAGTCCAACCCATTTTTTTTGTTGAATAGTTTTTTCAGAACGGACAGACTGTATTGACTGCTGAGTCCAACCCATTGAGCACGTGGAGGATGAGGCAGATCAGTGAGGGCACACAGATGAACCAGTTTGTCACTCTGGTTGAAGACTTCCTGCACACACAGCTGGGAGACTTTGACTCCGCCCCCCTCACCCTCAGGATCTTTGATGACTTTGATATCAACAGGGACAGTCAGGTCTGTGCTTAGTCTAGTGGTGTCTTCAGCAAGACTTTTGTAGTGGTGTCTTCAGCAAGTGAAGACTTTTGTAGTGGTGTCTTCAACAAGTGAAGACTTTTGTAGTGGTGTCTTCAGCAAGTGAAGACTTTTGTAGTGGTGTCTTGAGCAAGTGAAGACTGTTGTAGTGGTTTCTTCAGCAAGTGAAGACCATAGTAGTGAAATAAAAAAGTTGTGAATCCACTAGTTCTAGATGCATGTTGTAAAGACTTTAGTAGTGCAATAAAAAAGTTGTGAATCCACTAATTCTAGATGCAGGTTGTAAAGACTTTAGTAGTGCAATAAAAAAGTTGTGAATCCACTAGTTCTAGATGCATGTTGTAAAGGCTTTAGTAGTGCAATAAAAAAGTTGTGAATCCACTAGTTCTAGATGCAGGTTGTAAAGACTTTAGTAGTGCAATAAAAAAGTTGTGAATCCACTAGTTCTAGATGCATGTTGTAAAGACTTATGTGATGAAATAACAAAAGTTGTGAATCCACTAGTTCTAGATGCATGTTGTAAAGGCTTTAGTAGTGCAATAAAAAAGTTGTGAATCCACTAGTTCTAGATGCAGGTTGTAAAGACTTTAGTAGTGCAATAAAAAAGTTGTGAATCCACTAATATTAGATGCATGTTGTAAAGACTTATGTAATGAAATAACAAAAGTTGTGAATCCACTAGTTCTAGATGCATGTTGTAAAAACTTTAGTAGTGCAATAAAAAAGTTGTGAATCCACTAGTTCTAGATACAGTTGTACTGACTTGTTCAATCTTACAGATCAACTTGGGTGAAGCTCAGAGTATATGGAGTGTGTTGAACCAGCCCTATTTTCTAGCCTTCTACCACTTAAAGGTACACATTTCCACTTTTGTCATGGTAGAAAGTTTGTTTCATTTTTTTTAAAGCTGGCAATTCTACATTTTGAAGTGAAGGAATATAAAAATATATTTTTTTATTTATAAAAAATTTGTATTAGAGAATTTGCTTTTTTTCCCTCGTGAAAGATGTGCGTGATGCAATGTTCAATTTTTCGCTACCCCAGAGTTCCTCTGCGATTCCACATTTAAATGGCACATGTGGTGGTCTGAGCGTCTGGCACAGACCCCACATGTTATCTGGCAGCATCCTGTTCCGTAAGGACACACCCTGGCCGGTGCGCATGTTCTCAACCAAGGCTTACAGGTGGACACTGCCTAGTTGGCATCATAGGGCAAAGGTCATGCTCAGCCTTTTGGAGTTTGTTGAGGAGATGTATGAAAAAGATGGGGTCAGGTAATAACTCGGTTATCTTAACTTTGTAGAATTTGTTTAAGCAGGTTTTATTATAAACATTTAATTTGATTGGTTTTTTTCATGTTTTAAAAAGTCAAATTCTCAAATGTGTCAGGGTTTCTCAACACATAGCTTTGAAAATGTGTAGAGTTTGGTAGGTTTACATAAATGTGTCATGTTTAGCCCTCCAATCACTACTGTGTAGTTTGGTAGGTTTACATGAAACATACCATTAAGTACATTTATTCCCAATATTTTGTTTTTAAATTGATGTATGTAATTTTAGGTTTCACATTCAAGTATTTATGTTGATGTGATTGCTTTTGTTTTATCTTTGTGTTTTTGTTCATTTTGTGTTGATTATATTTTTGTATTTAGATATCACCTGTGCAATGCAGATGGAATGACCCTGTTCCACCTCCCGTCCTTTGAGATTGTGATTGAAGTTGTTATATTTCTGTATTTAGATATCACCTGTGCAATGCAGATGGAAGGACCCTGTTGCACCTCCCGTCCTTTGAGATTGTGATTGAAGTTGTTATATTTCTGTATTTAGATATCACCTGTGCAATGCAGATGGAAGGACCCTGTTCCATCTCCCGTCCTTTGAGATTGTGATTGAAGTTGTTATATTTCTGTATTTAGATATCACCTGTGCAATGCAGATGGAAGGACCCTGTTGCACCTCGGGTCCTTTGAGATTGTGATCACCGAGGAAGTGATGCTACTCTCTAGTCAGCAGCTGGCCACCCGCCTGTCCAACATCACCTGCCACCACTCCCACGACTGTGTCCTGACCAAACAGTGCCAGACATTCTGTGATTACAGCACGCAGCAGTGCTCTGGCAAGGTGGTGCGCCCAACTCTGGCTTACATCTGTGATATAATGGAGGATTATCTGCTCTTTGATGCACCCCGCCTGCTCAAGCCTGGCCTGATGCGGCTGATACATAGATGTCAGGGTATGTCCTCGTACTCCCTAAAAGCTGATTTGCTCCATTCCGTTGTAATTATTGATTTAAAAAGTATATTATGGAACACAATTCAGTATGAAAAAAAATGATTAGGATCTTTATTCCAGAGATGTTTTAATTTTTTCCAAATTTTTAATGCATGACTTTTTTAAAACTTCTGATGCTGTAAACATTTAGGTAAATTAACCTCAAGTTTGTTAGCCTCAGATAAAAAACTCAGGGTTTTTTAAGATACAAAATTTGTAAAGAAAATATAGGTCAGTTTCTTTTTATGTTTTTATTATCTCCACTTAACTTTAAATACTGAGGTTTTGGCTTTACAATAAAAACAGTTTTTAGGTTTGACTAATTTAAAAAAAACTTAAACTGAACTCACAATACAAGCATTTCGCCATTGAGTCAAATTAGTTTATTTTTCTAAAATTGTCAATAATACGAGTAATTATTCCAAACAGTTTTTATTCTTCTTATCTTATACTTATGCCACATAAAGTTTTACAAACATATGGGTGAACTTTGTTTAAACACTTTTATTCTTCTATTTATGATCTGCTATGAGTTGACTGCAACCCTTGTCTGCAGTTGTTTGTCCATCTTCAAATGTTTTGTACAAGAAGGTAATCACACACTTGTTTATTGTTGGGGATGAATTCAATAGTTTAGGAAGTTCTAGCCCTTGTAGCAGAGTTACTGGTCCTTACTTCAACCAAATTGATCTTCTAGTTAAGCAGTTGTTTTGACCTGTTTTTTATGTGTCTATTCTTATAAGGTTAAATGTAAGTTGGTTTTTTTAAGGAAAATTGGTTTTTGATGAAGTTTTCTGTATAGTTATACTAAAAATCCAAAGTGTTATGAGTCCCATTTAGTAAGGGGGGGGGGTGCACTTTTGTTTTCTACTTTTTAAAATTTTACATCCAGAGCTTTTTAAAAATCTTTAACTTTGTTTTGAACATTAAAGGAAATACTAAACGACCAAACAATTTTCAAAATTAGATTTAATATGAAAACTTCAAAACAGCTTTCAAATCATACAAAATATGTGATGTTAGAGCAATTATGATACAGTTATTAGATCTAGCTAGAGAATATGTAGTGTATTGTGATACCATTAATTCCCAGTCTGAAAAATGCTTTGCTAACTATACAATATTAGAATTCACTTGTAAAAAAATGTGGGTTTTTACTTTCTCATTAGTGCATCCCCTTAATCTTTTTGAATTAATTCCATAATTAGTTGTTGCCTGAAATACTTACATAACAAAGCTGACTCGTCTAAACTTGATACTGTTTCACCTATTGCCATGATGTTGATGTGTTCTCTCAACTTAAAAAATGCAAATGACAATGAAATTTTTCTTTCAAATTTTCATTTTAATACATTTTTAACAATTTTCAACATTTTAAGAACAAATGACTTTTTTAAATGAATGTTTTTATAATGCTGGTGTTGGCATTGTGCATCAAGTTCTTTTAGATTTTCTATAAAGAAGACAATCTTTGTTCATGTGTTTGCTTGTCTAAGCTACCAACAATACAAGCTGAGGAAATAGTCTACTATTTGACCAGAGATCTGTTAGAATGTACTAGAAGACATCAAAATAAATGTAGAAATCCATCTTGCAGACAGAGAATTTAAGTTGACTGGACTGTTAAAGCTAGTACGAGTATTTATTTTTAACTACAGTTTTTTACAAGTATTTGTTTATAATTATCGAAGAGATTTTCGCTTGTTGTGTATTCAAGTCCCAAACTTCCAAATTAATTTATTTGATAATTTTTATCTAAAACTGTATCTGTTGTAAGTGGTGATGGGGAACAATTTTTATGCCATGAAACACTTTCTGGTGCAGTTCTACATTCTCAGACTGCTAAATGTTGGGCACAACTTTTGGATACAATCTGCCACATGTTACACAAACATTTCACAGACAAACAACCCAATGTTGTATACATTGTAAGGATAAAAACAGCAAAATGTTGCACGCAACAAATTCTCCGGTTAAGCTTGTATGGCTATTGACTTTAGTTTGATGAGTGGTTTGGGTTGAGTTGTGTGTGATTGCAGTTTAAAAATTTCTAGCCCTTGTGGGAATAAGGGAGGGCTATTTTTTCAAATATGTTTGTCATGTAAAAAATAAGGGCAAACTGTGTTTGGTGACATTTTTACAATTATTTGTGTAAAATTATTTAAACAGGTTTTGTCCACAGTAACTTGACAATGTAAGGAGTTTCAATGTCTTGGGGATGTAAGAGGTTTCAAGATGGGTATTTTACATTCCTTGCTTTGTTGTCTTTGCTTTAGCTACCTTGTGGTTCTAGTCATGTTGCCATGGAAATTAGATCAACAAAGCTTCCGTAATATGTTAACTTTTGAAATGAAGCATTTGATTGTTGTCTTTAAAGCAATATAATAGTCTAATAAATACAAGATGTTACCAATCAACTTATGAAACAGATATTTATAGATACACATTGCTACCTTCACCGTGAAGATTTTGTTATATTTGTTAGCAGAATTGGGTTTTTAAAAGTGAGGTAAATCTTTTATGCAAAAATTTGTAGGATTATGAGTTATTACAATCAAGAGGACTAACTTTTTTAATACTAAAATATTTAATTAAGGCTCCAGCCATCTGTTAAACACCTTGTTGGTGCTTCTGTTTGACCAACTTGTACCCTTTAGATTGTCTAGTTGTGTCTCACCCTTATAAAACAATGTATTTTATCAGATGAATGTTGTCATGTAGACATTGTGGTTTGGACAAAGTTTGTAGTGCTTGCCATGTCCAACAGAGCAAGTTGTTTAATACCTGTGTTTGAGGTGTAAAAAATAAAACTGAACATTTTTACATCTCGTGAACATTGATTTTATTTAATTGCATTTAACTAATATATTTTATACCAGTTTTTTTAAAGAATTTTAGAGGCCAAGTAAACTCATTAACCTGTAAAAACATTTTTAAGTCATTAACCTGTAAAAACATTTTCAAGTCATTAACTTATTAAATTTTATGGTACATAGATTTATTCCTACTGATAAAAACATCTCATTTGATGATCCGAGACTTACATTTGAATACCATGCATAAATTGCTAATTAAGATACATTTGAATACCATGCATATTTTGCTAATTAAGATAGATTTGAATACCATGCATATTTTGCTAATTAAGACAAAATGTGATTTGTCCTGTTTGAACTTTTCCTCACATATTCGTCCCAGCTAGGTAATGTATACATTTTAATTGGATACAACTTTTTAAAACGGATGAAAATTTTAATTTTGTTTGTCAAAATAAGATCTAAATCTAAGTGAATTTTTAAAAAAAGTGTATTATTTTATTTCAAATGTTGGCTTTTAATAGCACTTTTTGTGCTGACTTTCTTGACCATGGGAGTTGCTGTATCTTAACTGTAACCATCTCTAATTGCCTCTAATCCACAAGGCAAAAGCCAGTTTTTAAGAAATGTTTTTAAAAGTTATAGTAATGTGACAGAGATGTTTAAATATTTAAACATTTCTTTTTGTAAGGACAATAGTTTTTAAAACAAAAAAAAGCAGGGATTTAATCCAAGCAGTAAGTGCAGTCTGTTAACTGAAACAACAAATTCTAGTCTGAAGATTTCTCTTGCCACCCTAGCAGACTTTTCTTTAACATGATTATAACATGATGTCACTGACCAGCTAGTCAAATATTGAGCCTTGTCTGATGTAGGTTTTTGTGAGGATGTATTATCACCCAACTCTTGTACTGCTACATAGATTTATTATCTCCCTTTGTTTACCCAGTTGGTTCAATATGTTGCCCTGTGTAGTAGGACATTTTAAAGTTTTCCATGCTTTCCTCTGTTAGAATCTAGATAGGTAACCTCCCATCTCTAGATCGTTACTGTTATGATTTTCTGCTCTCATATACTGGTGTGTGATATTGTAGAGCTGTTTATAACTTTTTTTGGGTGTTTAGCCTTTTCAATTATTTAAATTGCTTGATTTCCCTTGTGTATATTTTAATGGTTGAGCTTTGATCAAATTGTGTGGGTAAAGTGTTAAAGATGTTTTTAGAAGTTATGTCAATTCCAAAGTATATTACTGAAGACTACACGTTATAAAACTAAAACAAAATTTAATTTTCCAAAATGTTGAAACCAGCTATCATGTTTATTTTCAAATTAAGTTTATCTTTGTATTTGAAGCTAAATTTGTCAATAAGGTGATTAATGACAATGGGAGTGCCAACTTTGTATTGATAAAAATATCTTTTTTCAAATTGTGCTGCATTTAAAATAATTGCATTTATATTTTATCAAAGTGACAATGGATAAATTCATTAAATCTTACACTTGTCAATTTGTTTTTGTGGCTAACCATACTTTACAAGTATAAGTTTTTTAAAGTAGGCCTGGAGTATAAGAGTTATCTGAAGGCACTTAATGGACTCATGTGCAGTGTTGGTATTATTTTTTTTTACAAATGTATTTTTGGTTATTAATAATTTAAGAAACCACCAAATTATATAAGGGTATTGCTGGGGTTTTGTGTTCTACGAAGTCTTGTATTGCCTTAAGGGTTAACACAGGTGTAGCATCTGGGGTCAGTTTTTAAACTTCAGCATAAGTCATGATAAGGGATAGCTGCCCCTTGTGTATTCAGACATGAAGTATTAACTTATACAATGTTCAAGTTCATCTTTGTGCTTGTGACCGGTTCAGTGACCATAATGTGTGTTTGTCACGCCTGAATTATTTGTGACAACTTGTAATATTTTGTTGGTTTAATTGTGTTTCAATGTTAATGAAAACAACTATTAATGTTGCCGTGAAATATTTAACTTGAATAGGGTTGGGATGTGTGCTGTGATTTAAGGTGTATACATTTTGTTCTAATAAACAAATTTTTAGATGCCACAAGTTTGTTATTTCAATTCATTCATTAAAACACCCATTTAAAAAAATGTGGTTTTTATTTTCAGTAAGATAAACAAAACATTCATTTTTTTCTATAAAATTTAGTTTTCAAAAATCATGACAATAAAATATTTTCTACAAGACTGAAAAAAATGTACATTTTTAACAAATCTTTTCATATGGCTAAATCATCGGATAGTGTTGACAAGCACAGAATTAGTGATAAGGCTTTGCATTCTTTTTATCACAAGACTTAACTGAATATGGTGTGAGGGGACATAAGAGACTTCTATCTCAATAGTAGTATAAAAAAATTGTTTCATTATTGCTCCATCTGATTTTGTTTTTTACATTTCATATCAAAATTGATTTAAAAAAATTGTTTTAGCTATTGCTTGAAAGTATACTCATTTCATCAGCACAGCTAAAACAAAAACTGACACTATAATTGAAGTATATTTTTGACTTAAAACACAAGTAGACACTATATTTACATGATACATTTGAAATAAAGCTGTAAAATATATTTATTAAGAGGAACATTATCAAAATAAAATTTGGCCTTTTTACATGAATTTTATATTTCTCAATATAACTGCAAAAAAAAAAAAATTTGGTAAAAAACATTTATGCTAATTTCTAAACTATAAAAACTGCTCTGAAAAAATATTTTGCATAAAAAAAAAATCACTTTCTATTCAACAACTGATCTAGAGCACATGAACAAAATCAAATCAGCTGCCTATTAAAACTAATGAAATGGCCTCTAATGTTACACAATTGATGGGAAGAAACCAAAACTATATATCTCATGATGCAAGCACATTAACTCTGGTATATTTACATTTGCTGCTAGTTTGTGTCCCTTTATTGACACAAAATATTTTAATCTTTGATCTCTTGCTTACAATTTTGTGAAAATTACAATGTCAAACTATGTATAAAGGTGAGCCAGATTTGAAAACCAACGTATGAACATCGTTGTGATTTACTGTATGAATTAGCAAACCATTTTCAATGAACATCACTGTAATTTACTGAGTGAATCAGCTAAACATTTTCAATGAACAGATGCTAAGTGTATAGAACCCCTGATAAGATCAGAGCTATAGCAGAAAATTGAAGTTTGTGGAAATTCATTAAGTACAGATGAACTAGAGCCTCAATATTTCCACATAAACATCAGCTGTTATAATTTTGTGACATCTGATGTTTTAGGTTTATTAAATACATGTCCATATTAAGAAAATGTACATCTCACACAAAATTTCAGATTTAATCAATTGAAGTAAAAATATTGCAGATTTCAGTTTTATAAAAAAATATTTTTTTTTGGTGTACACTAAAATTCCTTCTCACTTACAGTAAAGTCTACATTAAAAAAAAAAGTAACAAAATGTTTTGCTATAAGTTTAAGAAATACTGAAATGGATTTCATGAACCCCACACATTCCTATGGATGGAATATTTCTTTGATCTGTAACATCAGGAGCAGACAACCCACTCCAGCAACACATTCAGAGGGCAGACAACTGACTTGTACAGGAATAGTTGTGCACTAACTTAGAGCTGTACTAGAAAACTAATGACACCAGTGCTGAAGTTGAGTTTGTACAGCAGGGGTATAGATATGATGAAATGCATCACAGAGATAGTAAGTACATCACTAGCATCAACACTAAAGAGAAGGTAGCTACATCAACACTAAAGAGAAGGTAGCTACATCAACACTAAAGAGAAGGTAGCTACATCAACAGCAAAAACACAACTTTAGATCCAAAAGTCACTTTATTTCGGTTCATCTTAACAAAGAATCCTTTGGGACATTCTTGGTTGTCTATATGGTGCACCCCCCCCCCCCCCCCCCCCAACATATCTTGTAACCATACTGTACTGTCCACTTTTAGCAATTAAAATTGTGTTTTCAAGCAGGAAGAATATAGGACAGATAAGATATTTAATAGTCTTTGCATATTTCAGACTGAAATGAAACTGTGCAAGGTAAGCAATAGTCATGAAGATGGTAGTAACCACGTACATGATCAAGTAAAGATGGTTATAACCACCCATCTCATCCCATATGTACATACATCATACAAATATCCTATAAAGCTCTTTGTACAAAAACATAAAACCAAAATAAACCAAGTTCTACAACCTACTCTCTGAATGTTACCTTATGATGTACATCATACGTGCATAAATTATGGACATCATACAATGATAAACAGGAAATGCCCCATGATGTAGCTCTCTTTGATCTTAAACAAAACCAGATAAAATTATCCTTGGTTAAATGCTGACCCAAATGTTCAGCATAATTTGATCTTGGTTAAAGTGAACATGTTCATACATTGTCAACAGAAATGTTTTTTGTTCCCCCCAAAATTAAAATAAAGACACACAATGCATATTCAAGTTATTGTCCTTAATTTGATTTATCTTTCTTTATGTAATCAATCATCTTTTGTAGCTGATAATTATTTTAAATTTAAGTTTCTTCCATTAAATTTTCAATGTCCAATTAAGTCTAGTCAATTAGAGCTAATGCAATTTGTCACCATCAATCTAAACACACTTAAAAAAGACTTGTTAGAAAATTTAAAGAGACAAACTTTACATGCAAAAATAACTAGTAGATTGCACTATTTTAGCACTGATAAGACTCCACATATTCAACACAGCAACTGACCAATGGTTTGTACTGGCAAGTTAAATATCATCCGCCCCTTCTATGGCAAGTTAAATATCATCCGCCCCTTCTATGGCAAGTTAAATATCATCCGCCCCTTCTATGGCAAGTTAAATATCATCCGCCCCTTCTATGGCAAGTTAAATATCATCCGCCCCTTCTATGGCAAGTTAAATATCATCCGCCCCTTCTATGGCAAGTTAAATATCATCCGCCCCTTCTTCACTTCCTTTGATTTAGCCACTGGCATCAAATTTGCGTATACTAAAAATATGAAGCAGCGATGATTGTGAACAAACAAACTTTTTGGTACTTAAATTCTCACAACTTGTGTAGCTGATGTAGACAAAGTCTTGCATCAAATTAGTGTAAGGTCTTTCATCAATAGCCTTGTTACAGGGTTATCTGTGCCTTAGGTGTCTATTGGGGTGACGGTGTGTCAGAGTTGGTTACATGGCCTTACAAAGACTGGCTGGAGTTTCCCAACACTTGATACCTGGACACTCCTACCACAAAGTCATCTGTGTGTCATGTGACTTAACAAGTCATCTGTCATGTGACTCACCAAGTCATCCGCATGTCACGTGATTCACCAAGTCATCCGCATGTCATGTGATTCACCAAGTCATCCGCATGTCATGTGACTCACCAAGTCATCTGCATGTCATGTGACTCACCAAGTCATCCACATGTCATGTGACTCACCAAGTCATCCGCATGTCATGTGACTATCTTATGCTGGAGTACACAAACAATTCCCACACATCAGCCACACGCACTGGATGAGATGATAATGAGAGTGGCCGGCCTTGACAATCTCTCATATGGCCATCTGTGAGTGGCCTTGAGAACCTATCTTAGGGCCATTGTCCCGTCCTTTTGAACTAAGAGCTGCAGCCCTGACGCTGTGACCAGGCATGAAAATGAAAAAAGATGAAACAGTTTAGCAACTTAAACACAACACATAAGCAAAAGATGAAACAGTTTAGCAACTTAAACACAACACATAAGCAAAAGATGAAACAGTTTAGCAACTTAAACACAACACATAAGCAAAAGATGAAACAGTTTAGCAACTTAAACACAACACATAAGCAAAAGATGAAACAGTTTAGCAACTTAAACACAACACATAAGCAAAAGATGAAACAGTTTAGCAACTTAAACACAACACATAAGCAAAAGATGAAACAGTTTAGCAACTTAAACACAACACATAAGCAAAAGATGAAACAGTTTAGCAACTTAAACACAACACATAAGCAAAAGATGAAACAGTTTAGCAACTTAAACACAACACATAAGCAAAAGATGAAAAGAAATTGTTAGAAAATTAAACACAACACCTAATCAAAAAATAAAAAGTCCACCCAAATAGGAGGAACCACAAAGTGCATGTACCAAAGACAAGACTTTGCATGCACCTTAAATATATATGTCAGTGTAAACTGCACATGTAGATCTATGTTCAATGATCAAGTACACTAACTATGTAGATCAATATTTAGTGGTTATTTTACTTAAGTCTTACAACTACTTTTTAAAACGTTTTTCTTAACTCAGCTTCGCGTTTGTTTGTTTGTTGTTAAAATTGACATCGAAAATTAACCCACTTCTGATTGCTCTAGAGCTCTGAAATTTGGCAGGCAGGCTACTTTCGCCTAACAATTTCAGATGCAATCATAAAAACTAGCAATTAGAGACCGTAATTAGCTTAATTTAATTACGCCAGAAGGACCATAAAACTGAGGACATGATTTCTAAAGATACCGACAAGACTGGATGCCTATTGACACATTTACTTCGGCCCCAATCGATGTGAGCGCGCTGGCCGTGATCGTATAGTGGTTAGTACTTCGCGTTGTGGCCGCGACAACCCAGGTTCGAATCCTGGTCGCTCAAGATTTTTTTAGTCCGTGTATTTATAAACACTTTTTTAAAAACCACGTTTTTCATGTGTAGCAACGGACTAAAAAGGAGAAAATAAAATACTTAAAAAAAACTTTTTAAAAAACCACGTTTTTTATGTGTAGCAACGGACTAAAAAGGAGAACGGACACGGTAACACATTGTTAACGGTGACACGGTTGGTACGCTGGGCATGCTAAAATACACATAAACACGTTTTTCCTTAACTCAGCTTCGCGTTTATTTGTTTGTTTATGGGAGATTTGATCACGTGATTCGTGAGTAGATCTCCACGCCAGCAACGTAAATTACACCCTTTCTCTGTTTAAAGCGTATCGGTCGCTCAAGATTTTTTTAGTCCGTGTATTTAAAAACACTTAGTCAAGTCATACTTAATCAAGTGATTAGATAAAGTAGAAAATAAACTATATAAAAAACTTTTTAAAAACCACGTTTTTCATGTGTAGCAACGGACTAAAAAGGAGAAAATAAAATACTTAAAAAAAAACTTTTTAAAAAACCACGTTTTTCTTGTGGACTAAAAAGTAGAAAATAACTATTTACATACATTTGATGACAAAAAACGTGGGTCGGGCAGATGGGTCGGGAAATTTGATGGTGAACGTACCCACGTTTTTTGTCATCAAATGTATGTAAATAGTTATTTTCTACTTTTTAGTCCACAAGAAAAACGTGGTTTTTTAAAAAGTTTTTTTTTAAGTATTTTATTTTGTTCAGTTACAGATAATAAAAAAATTCTTTTTAAAATGGATAAATTTGTTTCTCTATGATCTGGGTGACAGGTAGGTGTTTCCAGCCATTATTTCATCTATCTAACCAATAACAAACATTGGTATGGTCAGATGGCAACTGACCAACTTGTATTTAATTACATGATTAAAACATAGATTTAATGAACCTTTTAAAAAAGGTTTTCATAGGTTGGTGAAAAATATTCTGTGATATCTCATTAAAACACCAGAAAAAAGTAAAAACCCAAACTGGCAGAAACAGAATCAAATATTCAAACACAAACAAGTGCTGAAACTAAGCAGAAAAACCTGGCAGGTCATCAAATTTGAAAATGTGGGGAGAGTAAAAAACTTGAACTGTGCTCAATTAACAAAACAAATTGGAAAGCTAAAGTTGTAGGAAGTGAAACATGAATTTATTATGACAGCAAGTCAAAGACTGAATGGTTGGGAATGTTAGGTGTCTGTTACTTGGGGCCTGCAACAAAAACAGCAAGAAAAAATTGTTTTACTCGTTTGGTGGGACCAGACAGAAACTAAACAATGAATGGTGTTAACAAAAACAGCAAGAAAAAATTGTTTTACTCGTTTGGTGGGGTCAGACAGAAACTAAACAATGAATGGTGTTAACAAAAACAGCAAGAAAAAATTGTTTTACTCGTTTGGTGGGGTCAGACAGAAACTAAACAATGAATGGTGTTAACAAAAACAGCAAGAAAAAATTGTTTTACTCGTTTGGTGGGGTCAGACAGAAACTAAACAATGAATGGTGTTAACACAAACAGCAAGAAAAAATTGTTTTACTCGTTTGGTGGGGTCAGACAGAAACTAAACAATGAATGGTGTTAACAAAAACAGCAAGAAAAAATTGTTTTACTCGTTTGGTGGGGTCAGACAGAAACTAAACAATGAATGGTGTTAACACAAACAGCAAGAAAAAATTGTTTTACTCGTTTGGTGGGGTCAGACAGAAACTAAACAATGAATGGTGTTAACAAAAACAGCAAGAAAAAATTGTTTTACTCGTTTGGTGGGGTCAGACAGAAACTAAACAATGAATGGTGTTAACACACACAGACAAAAAAGGATTTGACACTAGTAATATTTTTAAAAAAATGGAACTCTAGTGACATGGCATGGTGATGACTATGGAAATACACAACTAAGCTCACTAATATGTGAATACTGGAAGGGGTGAAATTATGGTTATACCTACAGGTCACATAATGACATGTACTTATTGCTGTGGGCCAAATCGTCAGATGGCTGTGGCCCACATAGTGACATATACGTATAGCTATAGGCCACATAGTGAGATGGCTGTGGGCCACATAGTGAGATGGCTGTGAGCCACATCCACGTAAAGCCCAACTAGCAGTACTCACCTTCCTCCACCTCCGTGGGGTTCAGATCTGTGCTTTCTATCAACTGCTGGACCAAAGTCTCAGCATCCACACGGGTAGCTCCTACAACAACTTCTTTACCTGACTCTTCAATTTTCTGGGGAAACAAACAACAGTCATCAGTACAAGCATCATTCATCAGTACAAACAGCAGTCATCAGTACAAACACCAGTCATCAGTACTAACAGCAGTCATCAGTACTAACAGCAGTCATCAGTACTAACAGCAGTCATCAGTACAAACAGCAGTCATCAGTACTAACAAACAGCAGTCATCAGTACAAACACCAGTCATCAGTACTAACAGCAGTCATCAATACAAGCATCATTTATCAGTACTAACAAACAGCAGTCATCAGTACAAACAGCAGTCATCAGTACTAACAGCAGTCATCAGTACTAACAGCAGTCATCAGTACTAACAGCAGTCATCAGTACTAACAGCAGTCATCAATACAAGCATCATTTATCAGTACTAACAAACACCAGTCATCAGTACAAGCATCATTCATCAGGACTAACAAACAGCATTTATCAAACAGAAAACAATGGGACAGAAAGGTATAAAGAAGAAAGAAACACTGACATAAATCAGCTCCCATTGGCAGATCATGTGGGCACCCAACTATTGGGTCACCTACTTATGTGAGCCACAATAAGCTATGGTTGACATTTTAGTTAATAAACACTGAAATATTTTGTGTTATACATGATTATACTTTGTATTCTAAACTCATTGAAATAAACAAAAGTGGTTCATTTTCAAAAGAAACTTAAAATTTTTTTTTGCCTTGCTCCAAGACAAAATCAGCTCAAAATACCTCACTAGATTTATTGCAGGTTAAACATTAAAAATTTATTCTGAATAAAAAGAATTTCAATTGTAAAAATTAATCTTCGAACCTCAGGCTAGTGAACTACTTATAACAAAATGCTTTGTAATAATAAAATAATTTAATAATAAAATAATCATGAAACAGACGCCAGATCAAAACAAGATCTTAAAAAAACTTTTTATTTCATGTTTCTTAATCTTTTAAACTTCCATCTCTTGTAAGAAGATTTCAGTTTTTTTAAAAAGGTTGAACACTAAGCTGGCAACATAAAAAACAAACTCAACAAAAACCAAAACAATGCTTTACTGTACTGGCTTCTACAATTCTATCCAACGACTGAGTTGAATTCCCAATCTGAAATTTGACACCACATGTGGCAGAAAAAATTATAAACCGCTCTGGTAAGGGAGAGAATCTTAAACAACTTTTGCTATTGGGAAGGGAGATAATTTTAAAAGTTATTGCTGCAGGGTATAAAAAAGTGATTTAAATATTTCTATATTTATTTTCAATATTTATAAATTAAAAGTAATTAATTGACAAGTCATTATTGATTTTAAGAAACCCAGAAAAATATATCTTTTCAAATAAATGAAATACTAGACAGGACAAAGAAAAATCAAGTAGTCAAAAATGACAAAAAGAGTGACCTACCCTTCTCCTCTCTAGTGTAGAGCCAACACTACTCGGAGTCCTGGAAAGTTATGGTCAAACAAATTTTAAAAGTTTGTTGAATGAAAACATAAAGACAATCTTAGCTTAAAACATCCAAAAAAAATAATCGTTAAACTTTTATTTCAAAGTGATACAATTTTATAGATTTAACTCTTCTAAATTTGTATTTTTAGAAAGTTGGTGAGCAATGAATTTTTAATATTTAAAAAATTGTGTATCTTACAGCAAGTCAGAACTTAGACATGATTACAATAAAATTATGCATTGGATTTTTGTATTAGATTAGAAAACTTTTGAAAATCATTAATGAAAAAATAACCATAATCTATATAAAAGTAGTATAAAACCATGTTTATAAATAAATTAAAAAACCAACTGTATGAACACCTACACAAATTATATTGGTACATATAAATATATACACGTATGTCACTAGCCTTTTGTGTAAAAGCAGAGGACAATATGTTTATCAACACACCTAGCCTAGGTGTGGTACATGTGTAATGACACACCTAGCCTAGGCCATGTGGTACATGTGTAATGACACACCTAGCCTAGGCCATGTGTGGTACATGTGTAATGACACACCTAGCCTAGGCTATGTGGTACATGTGTAATGACACACCTAGCCTAGGCTATGTGGTACATGTGTAATGACACACCTAGCTAGGCCATGTGGTACATGTGTAATGACACACCTAGCCTAGGCTATGTGTGGTACATGTGTAATGACCAGGGATGTGACCAGACCAGGGAAAAAAATTAGGAAATTTTCTCCGGACAAGAACTCAATATGTTTTATCTATTTTTTTAATCGCAGTTAAAGCAGTCTCACGCCATTACTGTTCTAATTAATCGTTTAATATAGCTAATATTATAAATAAAAGAAGTTTATGTTACATTGAAAGTCTTGTCGAATTGCAATTTAATGTTTAACTTATAAACAACTTTTTAAAAAAAAATTACAATTACAATGTAACAAAAGTGGCAGTTAAGTTCAACATTTAGCTAATTTAAAGTGTACTAATGTAGTCTAGTTACACTTTTGTTTTCAATTTTAAATTATGCCTTATACTCTTTTAAAGATTGGCATGGTAAAAATGTTAGTCTTCAACTGTAAAATGCCTAGATTCAGATTAATTGTAATTTGAAAGTTTTGGGTTCAGGTGATGGAAAATGAAATTGACCAGATTAGCTGAAATTAGAAAGGGTCTGATATGTGAACCAAAGTTAACCATTTCGATAGCCAAACCACATTGTTATTTATGTTTTTGGAATGGCTTAACTGTAAATTGTTTGAGGTCATCCATAAATGACGTCACGTTTTTTTTTTACGATTTTTACCTCCCCTCTCCTCTCCATCATAAAAGACAGACCCCCCCTAAAATGACGTCACACCTCAGCCAAAAACCGCTCCCCCCTCCTCAATATTGAATTTGAATTTTTTTTTAAACATCGTTTTTTGTTTTTCTAAAAGATTGACTGAGCTCGACCAACGTAGGATATTTTAATTAATTTATATTACAATTTTTTAAAAGTTTTCTGAAACGCGTAATAGCGGCTAAAATTCAGTTTCTAACATTACTTTTTTAAAATAAAAAAAAATATGACGTCACACTATCTGACCCCCTCCCCCTCAATACACGTCACAAAATTACGGATCCCCCCCCCCCCACTACGAGTGTGACGTTGTTTATGGAAGACCCCTTATTAATAACAGTCCATGTCGTATTTTTTCTTCGGAGTCACGTTGAGTTCAGTTTTTTTTTAAATCTTTAGGCCTATAGCATAGGTATTGCAGGAACAGCTATTTGAAATTACTGTGACGTCATTTTAATTTATTTTCCCACAAGCAGTACCAAACACGTACTTGGGGGTCAAGGTGAGGTCACAAGAGCCACGGTTGCTACAAGGGGGGTGTAGTCTAGTCCTTATAGACATAGTCACCTTTTGCAAGGATTTTAATATTAATTTTAGATAGCTAAATAAAATAAAATCAGATAGAAACTGTAGATTTGGGTGGGTTTAAATACAGAAAGATAAATTAGGCTATATCGATAGCTAGATTACCAGGCTAGGGAGATGCGAGTTTCATTTGAAGAAAGGCATTATTTTAGAGTACTTTTTCCCGTGTTTTTGATAAACATTCAACTGATATCAGCGGAAAAATTTGGACCAAAAAATTGCGTTCTGAAAAATACTGAAATTCGCAGAAATTCTGAATCTTGACCTAGATCTAGATCTATGTTTCATCTTAATCTAGCACCGTCAGACCTAGCGCAATCGTCTAATTAAAAAGAAATGTGCATATTTGACCTAAGTACTGTAATTTTCGATTTAAATACTAATATATGGAATGCGCAAGTCGGCCGTTTCAGTAGATGTCATTTTCGTTTTTTTTTCCTAATTTTTAAAACTTCGGCAAAAATCGAAGATCGGCGGAAAAATTCGGCAAAAATGAAATCAGCGGAGGAAAATTGCAGCTGAAACGGAAAAATCGGATTTCCGCTAAAATTCGGAAAAGTCACATCCCTGAATGACACACCTAGCCTAGGCTATGTGGTACATGTGTAATGACACACCTAGCCTAGGCTATGTGGTACATGTGTAATGACACACCTAGCTAGGCCATGTGGTACATGTGTAATGACACACCTAGCCTAGGCTATGTGTGGTACATGTGTAATGACACACCTAGCCTAGGCTATGTGGTACATGTGTGATGACACACCTAGCCTAGGCCATGTGGTACATGTGTAATGACACACCTAGCCTAGGCCATGTGTAATGACACACCTAGCCTAGGCCATGTGGTACATGTGTAATGACACACCTAGCCTAGGCCATGTGTGGTACATGTGTAATGACACACCTAGCCTAGGCCATGTGTAATGACACACCTAGCCTAGGCTATGTGTGGTACATGTGTAATGACACACCTAGCCTAGGCCATGTGGTACATGTGTAATGACACACCTAGCTAGGCCATGTGGTACATGTGTAATGACACACCTAGCTAGGCTATGTGGTACATGTGTAATGACACACCTAGCTAGACCATGTGGTACATGTGTAATGACACACCTAGCTAGGCCATGTGGTACATGTGTAATGACACACCTAGCCTAGGCCATGTGTAATGACACACCTAGCCTAGGCCATGTGGTACATGTGTAATGACACACCTAGCTAGGCCATGTGGTACATGTGTAATGACACACCTAGCCTAGGCCATGTGGTACATGTGTAATGACACACCTAGCCTAGGCCATGTGTAATGACACACCTAGCCTAGGCCATGTGGTACATGTGTAATGACACACCTAGCTAGGCCATGTGGTACATGTGTAATGACACACCTAGCCTAGGCCATGTGGTACATGTGTAATGACACACCTAGCCTAGGCTATGTGGTACATGTGTAATGACACACCTAGCCTAGGCTATGTGTGGTACATGTGTAATGACACACCTAGCCTAGGCTATGTGTGGTACATGTGTAATGACACACCTAGCCTAGGCTATGTGGTACATGTGTAATGACACACCCAGCCTAGGCCATGTGGTACATGTGTAATGACACACCTAGCTAGGCCATGTGGTACATGTGTAATGACACACCTAGCCTAGGCTATGTGTGGTACATGTGTAATGACACACCTAGCTAGGCCATGTGGTACATGTGTAATGACACACCTAGCAGTAGCAAGGTATAGCAGGCCTATACTAGTGTACTAGAGAAAAATAGCTATGTAAAATAATATACTCTCACAGCAATAAAATTGTATATAAAACAACAATTATTTTATAGAAAATTTACAAACAGTTGAACATCTGAGTAATGAAAACTAATTCTAGCAGCAAAGCTTAAAACACCATCAAAACAGAGTAATAAAAAATCATATTAAATAAATATTTCTTGATTCATTTATTAATATAAACACTATCAAAGTAATTTAAGTTTAAATATTTATTTTAGCAGTGCTTATTAACAATGTAATTACATTTTTAAAATTTAAATATTTATTTCTAGATGCAGCCCATACTCTATATAAAGATTAAATATTGTAAAAAGAAACCTATAAAAATATGTTTTATTTCTGTTATGTGTTTTTAATCAACCTAAAATTGTAATTAGTGTAAGCAGTGACAAAAAGCTAAAAAAATCTGGTTGACTAAGAATGTTGGGAACTTGTTTATGTACACATTTAAATCTACAGCTACATGTCAATAAAACAGATATACAGTAGATTAGAATAAAAAAAACAAAATATAATAGTGCAGCTTGTATAGAAATACCTGCTTTATTCTTGTCTAACTGGGTAGAGAAGTGCTCATAGTTTAACAGTTAAAAGGTGGTGGTTTGTGATGGTGTACTGTCAACGATGGTGTCAACATTGGTGGTGTGTGATGTCGACATTGGTTAGTGTGGTGTCGACATTGGTGGTGTGGGGGTGTAAACATTGGTGGTGTGTGTGGTGTCAACATTGGTGGTGTGGGGGTGTCAACATTGGTGGTGTGGGGGTGTCAACATTGGTGGTGTGGGGGTGTCAACATTGGTGGTGTGTGTGGTGTCAACATTGGTGGTGTGTGGTGTCAACATTGGTGGTGTGGGGGTGTCAACATTGGTGGTGTGGGGGTGTCAACATTGGTGGTGTGTGTGGTGTCAACATTGGTGGTGTGGGGGTGTCAACATTGGTGGTGTGTGGTGTCAACATTGGTGGTGTGTGGTGTCAACATTGGTGGTGTGTGGTGTCAACATTAGTGGTGTGTGGTGTCAACATTGGTGGTGTGTGGTGTCAACATTGGTGGTGTGTGGTGTCAACATTGGTGGTGTGTGGTGTCAACATTGGTGGTGTGTGGTATCAACATTGGTGGTGTGTGTGGTGTCAACATTGGTGGTGTGTGATGTCAACATTGGTGGTGTGTGTGATGTCAACATTGATGGTGTGTGTGATGTCAACATTGATGGTGTGTGATGTTGTAATGTCAACTTTAAAGTAGGGATGTTTTGAAACTTAGCAATTCTTCAATTCTTACAACACTTCCATGAGAATGAAAATCTTTCTACAACAGTTTTAATCACACTGTTGTAATTTTGTTAGTGCATTTTATCACCGTGATATGGCCTTGAGACCCATAACAAAAACATAATTAGATATTTTATAATGGTAAATCTTTAAGGGAATATTTTTAATATTATATTAACAATGCAATACTCATCTTTTTTTTTTTTTAATTTTGAAGGAAATTTTTTACTAATGGTTTAATTTTAGCTAATAATCCGAAATTGAGATTGTTGGATATTTTCAAAGGATTTGTGTTTTAAAGCCCAGTTAAATAAGTGCAGGTAAGAAAGTAAAAAGCGTTAAAAGCATACACATCACCTAGCGTGACCAAGTGCACATTCACTGCTAGTACTGGACTGACGACTGTGAGTTAAAGAGCCGTACCCGGAGCCTCTGGAATGTTGAGACGCGTAGCTGGCACTACGCGAGTGGCCCAGCCCATCCACTGGGACATCCATATCTACAGCATCTACACACAACAAAAACAGCAGCAGCTGCTGGGTTATTTGATACAAACTATTACTAGAGGAGTAGATAATGTTTAAAGCATAAAATAATCTTAAAATAATCTTATCTAAAAATAAGCTTTAGGTACTAACTCTTTAAATTGTTAACATTTTATATAAAGTTTTATCATGTTGAATATTGATCAGGTAGACATGTTCAGGATGGAAGTTTTTCTCATGTATGTGTGTGGTCAGCCTGTTTGTGTGTGTGGTCAGTCTGTTTGTGTGTGTGGTCAGTCTGTAGGTGTGTGTGGTCAGTCTGTAGGTGTGTTTGGTCAGTCTGTGTGTGTGGTCAGTCTGTGTGTGTGGTTAGTCTGTGTGTGTGGTCAGTCTGTGTGTGGTCAGCAGTGTAAGTTGTCAGCCTGTGTGTGTCGTCAGTCTAACTGACCTGACATCTGAGAGCCCATCTTGCCCCGCCTGGTCAAGCTACTGAAGCCACTGCTGCTGGAGGCCAGACTGTCCTCACTGTGGTTGTCACAAGGTCGGAGGTCAATGGGGTCAGTTTGACCTGTCACTGAGTTACTCTGGGACACTGAGTGGTTTGAAGGCCTGGTGGGGACAACAAGCAGATAAAACAAACATATCTTGACAGAAACATTTTCTGGATTCAGACACATTTTTCTGTGTTTTACACTCTTAGTTTGCTGGGAACAAATCAGACAGTATGGTAAACAAATAAAACTCACACTTTAAATACAGGGTCCCCTGAAATGAGAGATAACTCTACAGTAATTTTGATGTTGGAGTTATCCTGCCTGTGCTTGGTGTCGTAACCTTCCAGCAGGTACCTCCTTGTGACCTTCCCTCCCCCAGCAAATTGAGCAAGGTTGAGATCTACATAGCCCAGCTTTTGATGGGACCTGCCACCCTTCAGTTCCTGGACAAAACAAGGGGGGGGGGGGGGGCATTATAATTATTCAAGCAAGTTGACTAGCTCAGTGTTTTAAAATCAGCTGCATAGAATCACTTGATGATTAACAAGCTGCATATCTTTACAAACACAAACAAACAAATGTGATGGTAAGCTACAGATAGTTTGATGTCATGTATTTTTTAAGCCAACCTGTATAGAAACAGATTGTGGTACTACATTTTATCATACAGATTCTGACACTATGTCCAGTTTTATAACATGAAAAGGTTTTTTTTTAACAAGACAATCAGGCTGAACGCCAGAGTCCAAGTGTTGGATTTTTATAGACACAGAACTCGGTTTAACTGTTTAACATGAGTTTCCGATCAAGATTAAACTGTTTAACATGAGTTTCAAATTAGGGTTTAACATGAGTTTCAGATCAAGATTTAACATGAGTTGCAGATCAAGGTTTAACTACTGACAAACTCTCGTTAGTGTGATTAAAAACTGTCTTCACATTTTACCTTTCTCACAGAGATTCTAACATTACAAGGGTCAAGGACACCCGTGGTTAAGCTGGCTGTCATCTTGCAGGGAAACTCAAAGTTGCTTTTCCACCTGACACAGTTGCTGTTGACCTCCTCCCTGGGGATGCAAGGGTTAAACTTTACAGCAACACAAGGGTTAAACTTTACAGCAACACGAGGGTTAAACTTTACAGCAACACAAGGGTTAAACTTTACAGCAACACGAGGGTTAAACTTTACAGCAACACAAGGGTTAAACTTTACAGCAACACAAGGGTTAAACTTTACAGCAACACAAGGGTTAAACTTTACAGCAACACAAGGGTTAAACTTTACAGCAACACAAGGGTTAAACTTTACAGCAACACAAGGGTTAAACTTTACAGCAACACAAGGGTTAAACTTTACAGCAACACAAGGGTTAAACTTTACAGCAACACAAGGGTTAAACTTTACAGCAACACAAGGGTTAAACTTAAATTGACAGCAACACAAGGGTTAAACTTAAATTGACAGCAACACAAGGATTAAACTTAAATTGACAGCAACACAAGGGTTAAACTTAAATTTACAGCAACACAAGGGTTAAACTTAAATTTACAGCAACACAAGGGTTAAACTTTACAGCAACACAAGGGTTAAACAGCTGATGACACAAAAACGCAGCACATATAGCAGAGAACTGTGGACCAGTGTATGAGAGCAGCTATAGCAGAGAACTGTGGACCAGTGTATGAAGGGTTACCTGGAGGACAAATCTGTGAAACTGCCACCTTCATTCAGCCTGACTTTAGCAAACAACACACCTGTAACAAACGGCACTGACGCTAGCTCTTCCAGTCCAAGCTGCACCTGTGAACAGTGGGCACTCATGGTCAATACAGTGTTTTTATAACTGTCAGTGACGTTTGTTGTTAATCTAGTCATTAGTAGTCAATTCAGCCATTTGTGGTCAATACACAGGTCACTGCAGTCATTTGCGGTCCATACGTTAGTACAGCCAATCTAATATTGATACTATAATAGTTTTTATCTAGACATGGACCCACCTGGAACTTTTATCTAGACATGGACCCACCTGGTACTTTTATCTAGACATGGACCCACCTGGTACTTTTATCTAGACATGGACCCACCTGGAACTTTTATCTAGACATGGACCCACCTGGTACTTTTATCTAGACATGGACCCACCTGGTACTTTTATCTAGACATGGACCCACCTGGAACTTTTATCTAGACATGGACCCACCTGGAACTTTTATCTAGACATGGACCCATCTGGAACTTTTATCTAGACATGGACCCACCTGGAACTTTTATCTAGACATGGACCCACCTGGAACTTTTATCTAGACATGGACCCACCTGGAACTTTTATCTAGACATGGACCCACCTGGAACTTTTATCTAGACATGGACCCACCTGGAACTTTTATCTAGACATGGACCCACCTGGAACTTTTATCTAGACATGGACCCACCTGGAACTTTTATCTAGACATGGACCCACCTGGAACTTTTATCTAGACATGGACCCACCTGGAACTTTTATCTAGACATGGACCCACCTGGAACTTTTATCTAGACATGGACCCACCTGGAACTTTTATCTAGACATGGACCCACCTGGAACTTGAATTTTTTCTTCTTGGACATGAAGGGTATCATAATTGTAGGGGCAGGCTTGAGCCTGGCATGTTCTTCTCTTCCTGTGTCCCCCAGTTACTGGACAGTTGGGACAGCACCACTGACCATCCAAGTCTTTCCTCAAGCCAGTTACTGGACAGTTGGGACAGCACCACTGACCATCCAAGTCTTTCCTGGAGCCACACAGTTACTGGACAGTTGGGACAGCACCACTGACCATCCAAGTCTTTCCTCAAGCCAGTTACTGGACAGTTGGGACAGCACCACTGACCATACTAACATCCAATTCTTACTTCACAGACTCAAACACAAAATGAATTAATTTGATTGGGATACAAAATTTAAAAAACTTTGTAAAGATTTTGTTGTCTGTCTTATACAAATCTTTTTGTTTGATTTAACTTCAAGGTAACAACCAGTCCAGTCTCAGCAAGATGGCTGCGACCTCAGCAAGATGGCTGCGACCTCAGCAAGATGGCTGCGACCTCAGCAAGATGGCTGCGACCTCAGCAAGATGGCTGCGACCTCAGCAAGATGGCTGCGACCTCAGCAAGATGGCTGCGACCTCAGCAAGATGGCTACGACCTCAGCAAGGTGACATGAGCAAGATGACAGAGACTTTCACTTGACCATCTCTTGTGCTCAGCTAACTTGACTAGCACTGAAATTAGAATAAATAATGTAAAATAACATGACGATGAGCAACTAACTTTATTTTGGAAAGATACTATGAGCAACTAACTTTATTTTTTAAAGATAACAGCAAGACGTAAGGTAAGGTGGAGCTGTCACATACAAGGTGTGAGGTAAGGGTGTCTTTATTAGATGGTACAGGACAAACAGTGCTGTCACACATGATCAATTCAATGAAGGGTGGACAACTAAAAGACTTGACATGAAGCCAATAGAATAAGCACTTAAGCCAAGCCAAGAGACTAATTAGCACTTTGTAACACTTTAAATAAAAAATACATTTGCCCTTCATAACAATTAAACAGGTCACAGGTGGGGGGTATGGAATGCTGTGTGCTAAAATTAGTTCATCTGTACTAACACATTAACAAAACACAGGGTTTGTTATTCCCATGTTGACAGGATCTCCATAACAAGCCACATACACGTAATAACACAGGGTTATGATACTAGTGTAATCCCATTCAACACAGGCTTATGATACAACAGTAGACACAACAAATGTATTCTTTCATAAAAGTCGGATGTAAAGATTTGGTTGGACACTCCTACAGGTAAAACCAGTTTGTGACATCACACAGGTGAGAGTGAAAAGTCTTCCTATTTTGTAATAAATTAACACAACAAACACTTGAACTAGCTGGGGCAGCTCATGTAACAAATATATGAACTAGCTGGCTCAGCACATGTAACAAATATATGAACTAGCTGGCTCAGCACATGTAACAAATATATGAACTAGCTGGGGCAGCTCATGTAACAAATATATGAACTAGCTGGCTCAGCACATGTAACAAATATATGAACTAGCTGGCTCAGCACATGTAACAAATATATGAACTAGCTGGCTCAGCACATGTAACAAATATATGAACTAGCTGGCTCAGCACATGTAACAAATATATGAACTAGCTGGCTCAGCACATGTAACAAATATATGAACTAGCTGGCTCAGCACATGTAACAAATATATGAACTAGCTGGCTCAGCACATGTAACAAATATATGAACTAGCTGGCTCAGCACATGTAACAAATATATGAACTAGCTGGGGCAGCTCATGTAACAAATATATGAACTAGCTGGCTCAGCACATGTAACAAATATATGAACTAGCTGGCTCAGCACATGTAACAAATATATGAACTAGCTGGCTCAGCACATGTAACAAATATATGAACTAGCTGGCTCAGCACATGTAACAAATATATGAACTAGCTGGCTCAGCACATGTAACAAATATATGAACTAGCTGGCTCAGCACATGTAACAAATATATGAACTAGCTGGCTCAGCACATGTAACAAATATATGAACTAGCTGGGGCAGCTCATGTAACAAATATATGAACTAGCTGGCTCAGCACATGTAACAAATATATGAACTAGCTGGCTCAGCACATGTAACAAATATATGAACTAGCTGGCTCAGCACATGTAACAAATATATGAACTAGCTGGCTCAGCACATGTAACAAATATATGAACTAGCTGGCTCAGCACATGTAACAAATATATGAACTAGCTGGGGCAGCTCATGTAACAAATATATGAACTAGCTGGCTCAGCACATGTAACAAATATATGAACTAGCTGGGGCAGCTCATGTAACAAATATATGAACTAGCTGGCTCAGCACATGTAACAAATATATGAACTAGCTGGCTCAGCACATGTAACAAATATATGAACTAGCTGGCTCAGCACATGTAACAAATATATGAACTAGCTGGCTCAGCACATGTAACAAATATATGAACTAGCTGGGACAGCTCATGTAACAAATATATGAACTAGCTGGGGCAGCTCATGTAACAAATATATGAACTAGCTGGGGCAGCAAATGTAACAAATATATGAACTAGCTGGGGCAGCTCATGTAACAAATATATGAACTAGCTGGGGCAGCACATGTAACAAATATATGAACTAGCTGGGGCAGCTCATGTAACAAATATTTGAGCCAGCAGGTTTGGAAATACAAACTCAACAACTATTACATTACAGCTTTACCCCCATAGATTTTCTGCGAGGGTTTTGCTGAGACAACTCAAACAAAAAACTAAACACTGGTCAAGTTTCACTGTTTATCAGCTGTTAGGTCACTCAAGTATCAGCTGTTTAGTCACTCAAGTATCAGCTGTTTAGTCACTCAAGTATCAGCCGTTTAGTCACTCAAGTATCAGCCGTTTAGTCACTCAAGTATCAGCCGTTTAGTCACTCAAGTATCAGCCGTTTAGTCACTCAAGTATCAGCTGTTTAGTCACTCAAGTATCAGCTGTTTAGTCACTCAAGTATCAGCTGTTTAGTCACTCAAGTATCAGCCGTTTAGTCACTCAAGTATCAGCTGTTTAGTCACTCAAGTATCAGCCGTTTAGTCACTCAAGTATCAGCCGTTTAGTCACTCAAGTATCAGCCGTTTAGTCACTCAAGTATCAGCTGTTAGTCACTCAAGTATCAGCTGTTTAGTCACACAATTATCAGCCGTTTAGTCACTCAAGTATCAGCTGTTTAGTCACTCAAGTATCAGCTTTTTAGTCACTCAAGTATCAGCTGTTTAGTCACTCAAGTATCAGCTATTTAGTCACTCAAGTATCAGCTATTTAGTCACACAAGTATCAGCCGTTTAGTCACTCAAGTATCAGCTGTTTAGTCACTCAAGTATCAGCTATTTAGTCACTCAAGTATCAGCTGTTTAGTCACTCACGTATCAGCTGTTTAGTCACACGTATCACGTGTAAGTCAACACAAACATATTCAGCCCCCCCCCCCCACTGTAAAAGTTTAAAATATACTTTAAAATACAATAATTACAAGCTGTTGTAAAAAAGCAAGTAGGTCATGTTAAACCATCACAAAACAATTTTAAACAGCCCTACAGTCATCAAAATAAAGTTAAACCATCACAAGCCAACATTTTGAACAGTCAAGTTTCTTAATGTGGTTTGAAACCATCTACTGATGTCCACCTAGCATGAATCACCTGATGTTGAATAGCTGGTTTATGCCAATTGTTTATTATGAATTATCAAGTTCCTCATTAAAAATATATACACCAACCCTAATTAAACAGGTTATTAAAAATATACACCAACCCAAATTAAATACACCATTAAACAGGTTATTAGCTAACCAGGATTGGACAGTTTGCACATAAAAGATAACACTGGGAAGTAAAAAAAATATTGAGCCTCCACATGATACACATGAATAAAAAAATGTATTTAAAAACCAGGGGTGATAACAATGGTAATCTCCCTGTCTGTCTCAAGGGGAGGAATTCTAGGAGACTTTTAACTTTTTAATGAAGGGGGACAACCTCAGGGGATCATCCTGACTACAGAGGGTTGTTTGTTGTAGTGTGTGTATGGTGGGGGTCATTAATGTGGTAGTTCTACAGATGGTTGTTTGTTGTGGTGTGTATGGTGGGGGTCATTAATGTGGTAGTTCTACAGATGGTTGTTTGTTGTAGTGTGTGTATGGTGGGGGTCATTAATGTGGTAGTTCTACAGATGGTTGTTTGTTGTGTGTGTAAGGTGGGGGTCATTAATGTGGTAGTTCTACAGATGGTTGTTTGTTGTGGTGTGTATGGTGGGGGTCATTAATGTGGTAGTTCTACAGATGGTTGTTTGTTGTAGTGTGTGTATGGTGGGGGTCATTAATGTGGTAGTTCTACAGATGGTTGTTTGTTGTAGTGTGTGTATGGTGGGGGTCATTAATGTGGTAGTTCTACAGATGGTTGTTTGTTGTGTGTGTAAGGTGGGGGTCATTAATGTGGTAGTTCTACAGATGGTTGTTTGTTGTAGTGTGTGTATGGTGGGGGTCATTAATGTGGTAGTTCTACAGATGGTTGTTTGTTGTGTGTGTAAGGTGGGGGTCATTAATGTGGTAGTTCTACAGATGGTTGTTTGTTGTGGTGTGTATGGTGGGGGTCATTAATGTGGTAGTTCTACAGATGGTTGTTTGTTGTGTGTGTGTATGGTGGGGTCATTAATGTGGTAGTTCTACAGATGGTTGTTTGTTGTGGTGTGTATGGTGGGGGTCATTAATGTGGTAGTTCTACAGATGGTTGTTTGTTGTGGTGTGTATGGTGGGGGTCATTAATGTGGTAGTTCTACAGATGGTTGTTTGTTGTGGTGTGTATGGTGGGGGTCATTAATGTGGTAGTTCTACAGATGGTTGTTTGTTGTGTGTGTGTATGGTGGGGTCATTAATGTGGTAGTTCTACAGATGGTTGTTTGTTGTGGTGTGTATGGTGGGAGTCATTAATGTGGTAGTTCTACAGATGGTTGTTTGTTGTGGTGTGTATGGTGGGGGTCATTAATGTGGTAGTTCTACACATGGTTGTTTGTTGTGGTGTGTATGGTGGGGGTCATTAATGTGGTAGTTCTACAGATGGTTGTTTGTTGTGTGTGTGTATGGTGGGGGTCATTAATGTGGTAGTTCTACAGATGGTTGTTTGTTGTGGTGTGTATGGTGGGGGTCATTAATGTGGTAGTTCTACAGATGGTTGTTTGTTGTGGTGTGTATGGTGGGGGTCATTAATGTGGTAGTTCTACAGATGGTTGTTTGTTGTGTGTGTGTATGGTGGGGTCATTAATGTGGTAGTTCTACAGATGGTTGTTTGTTGTGGTGTGTATGGTGGGAGTCATTAATGTGGTAGTTCTACAGATGGTTGTTTGTTGTGGTGTGTATGGTGGGGGTCATTAATGTGGTAGTTCTACACATGGTTGTTTGTTGTGGTGTGTATGGTGGGGGTCATTAATGTGGTAGTTCTACAGATGGTTGTTTGTTGTGTGTGTGTATGGTGGGGGTCATTAATGTGGTAGTTCTACAGATGGTTGTTTGTTGTGGTGTGTATGGTGGGGGTCATTAATGTGGTAGTTCTACAGATGGTTGTTTGTTGTGTGTGTGTATGGTGGGGTCATTAATGTGGTAGTTCTACAGATGGTTGTTTGTTGTGGTGTGT